GACCTTGTCTCCCAGTTCTCAGGGTGGCATTGAGGGTCCCCTGCATTGTCACACAGGCCCTCTTAGCTGCCATGGAGAAGATAGCGCTGTGGGGACTGTCCTGGGAGGCAGGAGGGCAGCCGCTGTGCTGGCTCATGCAGGAGATGGGCAGGCTACCCTCCTCTCCCATAGCAGCACTGTGGATGCAGAAGGCAGCAGGTGCAAGAGATGCGGGAGAGCAGGGGCTGGGGGTCAGGGGCACCATGGATGTGTTGCCAGTCACCAGGCCTCAGGCTTTTAATGCCAAGAACACAGAAGGCTTCCGGCTCACAGCCAACTGCAAACGTCATGCTGAGAATAAAAAATAAAGTATATTTGGGAAGCTGAAAAAAGGCAGAAGGCATTCATTGAAAATAAGGAAGAAACGAAGTAGGAAAGTCAGAGGGTCTCAGTTCTGATTGAGGGTTTTTCTTGATAAGTCACTTTCTGATTTTTCCTTACATGCTTCTGACCACAGGGTGCTCACTACCTATGCAGACTGGAGATTCCACTGACAACTCCTGTGTGCACCTTGAGCGACAGCCTTTTCCTCCGGCTTCCTCTGTGCAGATGCTTTGGAGTTTTTGTGTTCAGTTGCTTCATGCTGCTTCTGGAAAACCTCATGAAGGCCTGCGGAGCTAGTTGGTTCTCTGGTCCTCTTGGTGGAGGACCCTCCTCTAGAGCACGGTGTGGGTGTGGAACGGCTGCAGCGATGGAGGGCAGCAGGTGTGCTCCCTCTCTGTGTGCTCACTGCAGCCCCGGCCCCTGGGTTGGAGGCTGCTCTGGCTGCTGCTTCCCCCCCCATCCCCCCATCCAAAGCTCGCACTTACCGTGCTGTTGCAGCCCGCGAAGCAGGCAGACAAGTAGGTGACACCGTCAGCCCCACACACAGGAGTGAACGAGTCAGTTTGGCATTTGCAGTTCTTATTGCAGGATGAGTGAGGGTTCAGGGCCAAGCCACGCGCTGAGCTGGAGAAGAAAGGAGACACAAAGCCCCTTAGAAACAGGTGAGTTTATGACAGCATGTCCCTGGGGACCACGCTGTGCCCTCTGCTGGGCCCAGCCGCAGGGCGCTGTTGCTCACAGCAGCCCTCGCTAGCCTCTTCCTTGTCCCCTTCCCTCTTCCTTAGCCCTCCTCACCTTGCATGGACTGGCCCCTGGCCGCTGCAGATTGTGCCTGGGTTAATGATTCCAGGCCCGGGAGCGGCTGGGCCCAGCTTCAGCTCCTCTCCTGGAGGAGGAGCAAAGGGCCCTTTGATCCCCTGTGCCCCCCTCACCCTCTGGGCTCGGGGTACCTGGGGCTCAGCCCAGGGCCACCCCTTCCATGATGCCAGCCCAGCCCTCACTGCTGAGTGCTGACGCCCTTGCCCTCTGGCCCAGTCCTCAGGTCTGTCTGATGTCTCTGTGGCAGACAGAAAGCCTCATGTCTGCTCATGTGCTCATGTCTGGCTGTGACACTGCCGCAGCTAGACCAGCTTCAATAATTACTGTCTGTCTGACTGATTCAATATCCCAAGCAAAATAACACTGAGATGCTTTCCATTCTCTTTTGTATCATTAAAGGCACAATTTCCCAGAGCACACAAACGAAGAAGGAGAAAAGGGGCAGAGAGAGTGTCTTTAATCTGCAGAGAAAAAGTCTCTCTTGCTTAGCCCCTTCCTCTAGGGCTTGGGGCACCGCTGAGGGATGAAGGTGATGATGGTTTGTCAGCTTGCATACTGAGCTCAGTAGAAGCTCTTCCACACAGTACTCAGTCTCAGGAGGGCCCCGTGGGCTTCATGGAGAAGGAAATGGGCACACGCAGGTGAAGTCACTTGCCCACACGGACACAGCTCACCCGTGGGAGTGGAGGGAGCAGAGTAGTGGCAGTATGCCCCATGGGTCTCGCAAGGGGAGGCCCCGTGTTTGTAATCACTGCAGTTTACCACACGTGAGTGTGAGCTGGGCAATCCCAGTGAGGGATTTACAGCAGGGGTGAGACACAGGAGTGAGGCAGAGGGGGCAGTAAAGAGGCCGGGGCATATGGTATTTGAGTGACTTATAGACACATTGAGAGCTGCTTCTTCTCTGGCCTCCTGTTCTTCCTTTTGTGGAGGACAGAGCCCTGGCTCTACTGCGAGCTCCAGCTATTGGGCAGGAGCAGACCTGGTGGAGGAAGCTGGCTATGGAGAGCAAGGGAGAGGTGAGCCACAGGTCACCATGCTGCAGTATCAGCCTCCACAATGGACTCCCTGGGCAGCCTCAGAGTCTTACTCGGCAAGGGGACAGCGACAAAGAGTCTCCTTCCTTCCTGGAAGGGTCGTCCGGATGGAATGCTGGTCTAAATACTAGGGATGTGAACTAGGAAACCAGGGGAACTAGCTAGCTTCCCACCCATCCTCTCGCTCTTTCCTCTGCCTGTTCTATTTCCTTCCCTCTCTCTCTCCACCACTTCAAAATAATGCCCACGAGGAGGAGCTAGAACCTCAAAGGACACTGAAAGTGTGACCTCAGCTTCTGATAGTTAAGATCTATTGAAATCTATTGTGTATTTGAAGGCTGAATTTTGAAATGCAATTTATTTTTATTTTTTTTCCTCTTCCCCTTGTTACTAAATTCAAGTACCTAATGCAGCGCTATGAGTGATGGGGGATGGATACCCCCCTCACCCCATCCAGGGCTCTACTGGGTGCTCGGCAAGAGTCCAATTCTTTGATGCTAGACGTAAGATGAGTTGACGTCCTCAGCTCAGCCACTAAAGCCTGGGCTGGCTCTGGGAACCTGCGGAGGACAGCCAGCCTTGGCACCCCTGGGGCGATAGGGGCAAAGCCGACATTTGCAGCACTCACTTGTTTCCATAGGGAACAGTAACCCCAGCCACAGGGCCCGTGTCGCAGCCCAGGAAGAGGAAGGAGACGTAGCAGGCGGTAGACACCAGGTTGACAAGCATGGCCATCCGAATGGCACCCAGGGCGGACAGGCTGAGCTTCTTTACCAGGAGGCCTCCCAGGAAGATGCCCAGGCAGGCACACGGGATGGCCGTCATCCCTGCAAGGAAAGCAAACAGAAGCCTTGAGTGGGAAGGAAGAGCCGGTCCCCACGGTCTGAGGCCAAGCCCTGTGAGGGCCTGCGACCCCTGTGCAGTGTCTCTGCATGGACAGAACTCCAGGGTTTTGATTTCTGCCCTAACAGCTCCTAGCAAAAAGGAGGTAGGATGACAAAACCTCAGTGACCATGCACCTCACTGACATGCACACGAATTCCAGTGGACACCTTGCGGGAAATACACACAACTGACATGGATATAAGCCAGTCAGCCAGCCAGAGAGACACTCTACAATGACAGATCTGACCCAGCGTGGATGCCTTCTCGGCCTTTATAGGGTGGTGTTGGAAGGGGATGCTAGACGTTTTGGGGGATTTTCTCTTCCTCCTTAAGGAAGCAAGGAGCGAGGGCTGAATGAAGCCAGAGGTCACAGAGCTCATGGGTCTGCAGACCTTCTTCTCACCAGCCTGCCACTCAGGAAATAGCATCAGCCAAATCAATAGGTTTGGTATCTCTTGGAGAGTAATTGGCACACATGAATATTTTTTTTCTCTTGCTTGTATGCAGTTATCTGTAAGGCCGCAGGTCCTCAACCTGTTATTTCTGACTCTCAGAGACCCATGGAATTTTAGGAGAACCAAAGGATCTTAGGGTTTCAATCTCCTGTTTGGTTTGGCTCTGTTCTGATTCATTTCATCTACAACTCTGCTTTCAATTACGCGTGTCATTTATCTACTGTGCAGATTATGCACGGCTAATTTTCCAGTCCGGGCTGCCTCTTCCCTGCCAATCAACCAACCTCCAGGTCAATCGACTACATCAACCAGCTGGTATGTGCTAAGGGAATGCAAATTAATTTTAATATTAGGGTAAGAAAATATAATCAGGGAGGCTTAGCGCAGCAAGAAAATAGCGCCAGTCATATTAAAACAACACACACCTCTGTGTCATCTACTGTTGTTAGCAAATCTATGCTTGGTTTCTCTCCCTTGGTACAGAAATGCTCTTCACAAGGTAGCCCTGCACGTGTCTTTATCTCCATCCTAGCTTCCCTCTCCTTTTCCCTCTCCCTCTCCCTCCCTCCCTCCTTCTCTTTCCCTCCCCCTCCCTCCCTCCCTTCCTTCCTTCCTCTCCCTCTCTCCTTTCCTTCCTTTTGTCCTATCTCCCTCTCCCCTCCCTCCCCTCCCCTCCTACCCTTATTCCTGCTCTCCCTCTTTCCCTCCCTCCCTCCATCCATCCATCCAGAAAAGGTCATTGAGCTTAGGTCATTGAGCTTACGTGCCCAAGGCTCTGGAGCCACAGTGCTCACTCCTGGGACAGCCTGGCCCTTGGGATGACCTGCACCAGCCCTGGGGCATCCTACCATTCTCCTCCAGTCTTACTGTTTGCATGGCTCTCCCTGCTGCCCAAAGCTGCTCATTTATTATTTCATTTTCTCTTTTCTTTTTTTAAAATTAATTTTATTGAGAAACAAATAGCAATGAGAAAGTTTCCAAACCAATTAGTGGCACAGTTTCAATAATTAATACATTGCATATTGTTGTCTTTGTAGTGGTTATTCATTGCACAAGATGCAGACATGATATCCTGTCCAAACAGTACAAATCTTTCTTCTCATTGAATTAAGAGAAAGTAGCTGTATATCTATCCTAACTATTTTGTATATACAGATACAAAATGGTCCTTCATTTGTATCTCCTTTTTTGTTTAGTTTTGTCAGAGATGAGCATTCCATTGCCATTTAAATATTGTAGGTGTGTGAATTCAGCAAAATAATCCAATATAGTCCAGTAGTCCATAATAGTAGTGGGTTTTCCGTAGGACTGGCAATGTCAGAAGTTGTTGACTTGAGCCTTTTATAGCTCAGCATATTAGCATGGCTTTACTTTTTTTACCTTTCTACTGGATGGTTAAGACCAAGATAAAGCAAGACCTATATAACAAGAAATGTAACTTTTGTATCTGACCAGGTCAGTGAAATCCCCTCAAGATTTACCCAGAAACCCTGTACAGCAGTTTGTAGATCCTTTGTGAGTGTCAGCCATGTGGATGAGTCATGACCATTGCTTGACCAATTTGCTCTCTGTGAAAGCCTGAGAGAATGTTTTCTGTCCACGTGACTCTCATTTTCTCTTTTCTTGTTCTCGCTCCCTCTCTTCTGGTGCTTATTTCCCAAGCACCAGAGCCTCTTGGTTCTTTCTACTCAGTCCAGCCTAGATTCCCCATGTCTTAGTATAGTACCTGCTATGCAGTGGGCTAGAGGGTATCATGTTTGGAATGAATGAATGAGCACAGGCTGGGTCTGTGTGACTGACCATCAGTGACAGCATGCCCACATCCAGAGAGTGGCCTGTGTTTTGTCTCCTTCTCTAGCAGAGACCAAGGGAGTGTCACCTGGTGGTGATGGTAACCATGGCAACAACAGGCTTCCAGGCACTTTTCCTCCAAGCCATCACCAGCCTCCTGCTCCTTCCCTGGTGTTTCTGCCTGTCCTTACAGGTTGGGGCAGTCATTAGCACTGCCTACCAAAACTCCAGCCCCATTACCTAACTTATGCAAGTTGGGTTCATTTTACTTTTGTCATAAATCATCTGCATCTGCCCCTCAATGGTCCATGTTGTATTGTGCTGCTGTGACTCTGCCCCACTTGGTGAACTTGTGTGTGGCCCCAAGCCCTGCCTGCACACCCTGGGATAACTACACAGACTGCTTCCCAGAAGTAGCTTCATCAGCAGCCCCTACCAGCCTCTCCATGCCAGCCTGGTGCAGCCACACTGCAGACCAGGCACAGGGAGGGGGTGCTGTGCTGCCTGCCTTGGTGCCCCATGGGAGAGCCCCTCCCTGAGCCCTGCAAAAATACTCTAACAGGGAGAAGTCACTGGGAGACAAACAGGAGCAAGGAGACAAAATTGGTTCCTTTGACCTCCTGCCCTGAAGACTATTGATTTGTTTGTCAATAGGAAACTTAGGCATCTGTTCTAAAATAGGACACAATCTTGAGGCTGAAGCAAGTATGCAGTTGTCATCAAAATGTACTGTGCAGCAGTGAAGCGGTGAGGAGGAGGGAGATGGACCCTCCTGGGCTGGAGGGCAAGGCCCTGGGAGGGGCAGAGAGGGCCAAGAAGCTACCACTGTAACTGTGAGGAGAGGTGTGTTACCCACCCTCTGTCAGATGCTTATTGAAGAGCTGACAGCATTTGCCTAATACTTCTCAGAAGCAGAACTTGCAAAGCAGTGGGTGGGAAAGACTTATTGGTGAAGGGGGCAGGGATAAGTGCATATTCCCCTAGGAGTTTCCAGGGAGAGGAGACTGCGTGTGGCATGGCTCATCGAGGTCAGGGTTTGATTGTGGCTTTTAGCTGCGATGCTATGTCCTGTGGAAGTGCCAAAAGCTGGGGGGAGCGGCCCAATGACCCCCTGCATCTAGAGACCTTCCTGGTATCACTGGTTGGAACCAGGGTAGGGCATTTCCGGCAGCCCAGGGGCCTCCCTGGTTTCCTCCCTGGTTAGTTGTCCAGTCCCAGGGCAACTGTCTTTCTGGTCTCCATCACCTGCATCAACTATTCCTCTTTTATTGCCTATAACTATGTTCTCCTTTGCACCTGACATCTTCCAACCCTGCGATTGGACTGTGCGGAAGCCTGAATCCAGGTTCTGTCTGTCTTGCGCTGGGCAGCGGTGCCTACTGTGTGAGCAGCCTGTCATTTGCTTACCCATTCGGCTGCTGATCGACATTTGGGTTGCTTCCAGTTTGGAGTTATTATGCATAAAGCTGCTCTGAACGTTGTTATATATGCATATATAAAGCATGGACGTAAACACTCATTTTTGCTGGACAGAGGCCCGGGACTGAGGCACAAGCAGGCACATACTTTGCTCTGACAGGTGCTGCTGAAGGGTTTTCCCTGGAGGCTGCACCATTGGCATTCCCAGCTGGAGTGCAGTGTTCCAGTGGCTCCGCCTCCTCAGCAGCACTTGGTACCCTTGGTACCCGTGTTGTGGGAGAAAGGTGTCAAAGCCTCTCTTTGTAGTGTGCATCGGACCCTCGGGATGCTTGGCCACATGGCACTTGGTTCCTAGCCACTTTGTGAAGTGATGGGGGATGTCAGAGGACACTCTGAAAGGACCTCACTCACCCAGTCTGCTCCTCACATCTGACCCTGTCTCAGGAGAGAAGATGAAGTGCGTGGGGCTGAACCCCCACCCCTACCCCACGGCTGGCCTGTGGTTCCATGCTCAACAGGCCTGAGTGTCCCTCTCTAGTCTCCAGGGAACTCGATGAGCTTCCATTGTGGGCTGCCCATCCTCAGTTCCTTTCTCCTCTGCAAATCACCTTCTGCTGGTTCCTTTTTCTCTGCTCAGAAACCTCCTTAGGTCTCTCCTGCCCCTCATGGCACCCACACTGTGGGCTCCTTGCTTCCTCTGAGGAGTGGGTGCTCCCTGTCTGCCCTCCCCCAACCCGGGCTGCTCTCCACACCACAGGATGGGCTTTGCCAGTGCCACTGCATACGCAGTCAAGGCGCAGGACGCCTGTCCTTGCCAGAGCTGGCAGACACATCTGGGACCACATCTCACTTCTCTTAGAATGATCTCTCCCTTGATGCCCACCACCCCTACTCTTTGGATTTCTTTTGGATGCTGCTGAATTGCTCTGCAGATTGTTTTATGCCCTCATAAATAAGGGTTTCACCCTTATTTAAAAAATACACTTTCCTCATATAAATTCACTCATTCCTCAATTACTACCCATACACTGATGCAGTGGACTAGCTAGTACTGTATGTATGAGTTGCCACAATACTACACTATTCTGCGCTGCTAACCCAGATGCTGCCTGGAGGCCCCAGCTGAGACTAGCATCTCAGGCACCTCAGGCCTTGCAGGCTCAACTCTGAGCTCAAGCTCGTCCCAGACCTGATGCTTCTCAGCTGTTTACACTTTTCACACGTGGTGTCACCAGCTGGACAAGCTGGACACAGAGTGCAGATTCCTCTCTTCCCTAACTCCCAATTGTTTTGTTTTTGGCCCACAGCTAATCAACATCTAAGCTGACGAGCTTGCTAGTTATGGGAGTTAGAGGGGAATAAATGAACACAAAAGAAAAATCTAACTAAGATACGCTCTGTGACCACATTTCTCATCCTGCTTGATTTTGTGTGCCAATTCAAACAACTGGAAGAAGCTGCCTGAAATCTATTATTGAGAACTATAAAGATATGCCTGATCCTGAGAAGCAGTGCTGCAATGTATTAGTTATGTCTGACCTGGGTATTGGCATGGGCATAGGATGCTTTCTGAGCATCCTGAGTTGGTTTTTTTTTTTTTGCGGAACTGGGGATCAAACTCAGGCCCTTGTGTTTGCCAGGCAAGCACTTATTCCACTGAGCCATCTCCCCAGCCTCCATCCTGAGTCTTTATGGGTTGCTTGCTGTCAAGAATTCTTTTGCTTTCTTGTGTGCTGATAGACACCTACTAACCTTTCAAGATTCACCTTGATTACCCTCTTCCCTTGTAATAATTTCTTCAAATTTTTCAGTTTACATCAACCTCCTGTCTGCCTGGCCTCTCACAATGTTTCCTATGTAAATTTTAGATTTTTCCCGTATAATCATGTGCTGTAGTAAATGTCACAGGTCGGTAAACTTCACCCTGAGAATATACATGGAAATTCCTTCTAGGTACAAGTCCAGCGTAGCTCTGAGCCCTTCGGGGCTCTTGCAGATTCGTGAAGCATGACCCTCAGAACAGAGCAACAGACACACACACACACACACACACACACACACACACACACACACTCACCAAGCAGCTGGTTGGCGGAAGAGGTGGTGAGGTTGAACTGCTGTTCCAAGTACTTCCCCAGGAAGGCGGCGAAGCCGGCTACCACAGCAATCTCCATGCAGGCAGCCAGGATGATGCAGGTGAACACGGGGTTGGAGAGCAGGTGCTTGGTGACTTTCGGGATCACTGCAGGGAGGGAGAAGCAGCAGAAGGTCAAGGGTCAAGGTCACATACACTGAACCTCCATCCTAAGGCCTCCAGCTCCAGAGGTCCTTTCTGACCCACTCTGGTCCATCTCTGTAAATAGTATCAGAGAGTACCTGGTTGCTAAGGCCAAAATCTATATAGATCAGGTTGGCCACTATTATGAAAACCATGGCTTCAAATCATATGCTGGTATTCTGCCAATTGAGCTATCTTCTACTAAAGTGGGAGACTACCATGCTTTTTTATTACAGTTCACTAGAAACATTAAAACATTTTTAAAAACAATCATAAAATGTTCTCCACCACCAACAACAGAAGACAAATTTAGAGTCTGTTTCTCAAAAGGGAAACTAATTTCCATAAATCAAACATACATCAATATATTTAAGTATGTCCTTATGCCTCTAACTAAAAGTGTACGATTACATGTCTGAACAGTTTTAGGAAAGAAATGGGGCTGGGGAGATAGCTCAGTAGAATAAGCACTTGCCCGGCAAGCACAAAGTCCTGAGTTCAATCCCTGGTAACACACACAC